TGGAGGCCTCCAGCTGCTCCCCCAGCTGGAGAACCTCAGTAGTCCTGGCAGTCCTCCACCCTGGCAAGCCTTTGGGTGCTGTCAAGGGTGGGGCACCTTGCTTGCCTGTGTACCTGTCATTTATGGGAGAAGGAAACCAGGCTGAGCCTCTGGGCACATGTAGGGCTAGAGGCTGAAGGGGAGGAATGGGCACTGCCAACCTACTGCTTTGGGGTTTCTGTTTCTTTTCAGGCCTTAGTAGATGGTCCGATGGATAAGAAGGAGGAGTGAGGGCCTGCCTCCTTCTCTGCCTGCAGCTGGCTTCCACCTGGCCTGTGTGCTGCTTCCTGGGAGCCCAGCCTCTCCTCTGGTACTTCGGTTCTCTCCCTCTGCTTGCCTCATTGCCTTCCACAGCCAATAGCTCATTTAGGCCCCTTTCACCTTGCCTGCATATCACAGGGGCCTTGATTGTCGCTCATTCAAGATTGAGTTTGCTGTTGTCCTGCCCTGCTGGGCTGTTTCCACTCTTAGGAGTGTAGAGGGCACTTGTGACCAGCCCAAGTTGAGCCCCTTTGTTTTGCCATGTTTATGTGCTCTGTAGTCCTGCAGGAGTTCTGTGAAGCAGGCCATCTAGTTCTCCTGAGGCAATAAAGGTTATTATCATGTGTGTGTGGTACTTGTGTGTAACTGGGGCTGCCGGGAGGACTGCTACCTCCCCTTGCCACTCCAGAGCAGCCAGGAAGGCATGGCATGGTCTCTGTGCAGCACCCTTCATTTCCTTCAGTTGCTTCCAGCCCCGAAGGCCAGGCTCACACTTGCCCTTAAAGGTCCTGCCCTCTCTGCCCTTCCTCCTTCTCCCCCAGGCCTAGACAGGCCTCACTTTATGGCTCTTGGGGAGTGTCTGTCCTGCCAGTCTCCCTGGGGGTTGGCAGCCATCCTAGGAGCTTGGGAAGCTCGGTAAACCGGCAGGACTTCCTGATGGCAAACTTGCCTGCCTTCTCTGAGTTCCTGTTCATCGCAGTTGGGACAGATACAACGTGGCAGAATGCCACCAGTCACTCCCTGCCCTACCCCCTCCTGAAGGTTTGCAGCATGACCTCTGACTAATGCAGACTGGGAGAGGAGACTTGTCCTTGGTAGTGACCTAGAGCTGGCCCAGGGCAGAGTGAGGCAGTAGAGATGGGCTGTGAATGGGTTGGGGCCTCTCTGCTGACTCCAGCCTTGAGGACACGCTGGGCACAGGCTTGACACTGTGCATTGGCTTGCTGGTGGTTCCCCCGTGGCTTTCCCAGAGCAGACCCTAATGCAGGGTCAGCCTGCAGCTGAACTTCTCTCCAAGAGGGCACAAGAAAGAGCCTATGTCCAATGAGGTGCTTGTCCTCTGTCCCCAACCTCCTCCCTTTGCAGGGTGCCTGCCATGCCTGATATCTGTGAGGATTGGGTGGAAGGGTCGGTGTGCAGGTTGGAGGTACATGTCTTGGAATCAGGGTGATCCCTATAGATGTTAACACTGGCAGGATGGCTGATGGCCAGCTGTGTGTTCCCACTCTTGCCTGCCTAGTTTGGGCCCAGGCCAGCGGCTACCTTTCCCTCACCCTCTCACCCTTCCCTGTGCTCAGAGCGTGGCTGCCTTGGGAAGGGCCCCAGCCCTTTCTCAGCAGTCTAAGAGGTGGTAGCCATGGGGAGAGGGGGCATTCAAGTGACACCCTCTGATTGATATGCCAAGGCTTAGGGCTAGTCCACTTTTCCAGGAAGTGTTCCTGGACTCCTTTGGGCCTCCCCAAGCTTGCCTATGTTTCAACAGGCTGAAGTCCAGACAGCTTCTCCTGCTGTTCCACCCTGGCCCTGGCACAGCCCCTCTCTGCCCTAGCTTCTGAGGCATGTCATCTAATGGGACAGAAGGTGCTGTAGCACTCCATTTTCCCACCCATGTCTCCCACTATACTTCAAGAGACTTGAGAACTAAGAGCTCTTGTTGATTTCCATGTCCTGACCCCTAGGGAGGGAGCAGATTCCCGAGTAAATGGCACCTGTCTGCTACTGCAGAATCCAGTTTAAATGGCACACCTCTGTGAAATTGCCTTTTTGTGATGTCACTGTTTTCTGTGTCTTTGGCATTGTGGCATGTGGCTTGGAGGGCATTTGGCCTGAAGGCGAGAACAGCAGACCAGGATTCTTACCCAGGCAAAAAACTTGGCTGCTGAGAGCTGTTTAGAAGTTGATGGGGCCCTGAGGGTGACACTGGCTGTTGGCTCCTTCTGATGGGTGGAGTTGGTTAGGCACAATATATAGGGCCTAGGACACCCTGGGAGAGATCTAACTCACATTTAGGGCCTTTGCAGCTGTGGAAGAAAAGGTGGCAATTGGGGAGCAGTGAGCAGGCAGGGGTTCTGTGGAGAGGGGAACTGGGAAACTGCTGAAGAGAAAGATGGCAGGGAGGCTATGCAGGCTCCCACTTGCCTACCTGAAGACTGTGCTTCCCATTCTGCACATGACAAAACTGGGGCTTCCTGGCTTCCCTCCTGCCCATGGTGCCACACGCTTATTGAAGGCTGCCTTCTGCATGTGTTGAATGTCCCCTCCCTCTGAGGACCTGTCTGAACTGATTATTCTCTGCCTCCCTTTGCTTTTTTTTTTTGGCAGGGGGTGGTGGGGGCGTTGTACTGGAGAGTAAACCCACAGCCTCATGCATACTAGGAAAGTACTGTGCCACTGAGCTACACCCCTATCCATTTTTAAATTTTATTTTTGATACAGTCACCAAGTTGCCCAGGCTGTCCCCTGAACTTGTGATTCTCCTGCCTCAGCCTCCTGAGTCACTAGGATTATAGGTGTGTGCCACTGTGCCCAGTGGAATGGTATTCATATATAACAGAAAACATTATCATCTCCATTTTTTGGTTTGGTTTTTTATTGTTAGTTGTTCAAAACATTACATAGTTCTTGACATATCATATTTCATACATTTGATTCGAATGGATTATGAACTCCCATTTTTCCCCCGTATACAGATTGCAGAATCACATCGGTTACACATTCACGTTTTTACATACTGTCATATTAGTGTCTGTTGTATTCTGCTGCCCTTCCTATCCCCCCTCCCCTCCCCTCCCCTCTCTCTACCCCATCTATCGTAACTCATTTCTCTTGTTTTTTTCCCTTTCCCCTCACTTCCTCTTATATGTAATTTTGTATAACAATGAGGGTCTCCTTCCATTTCCATGCAATTTCCCTTCTCTTTCCCTTTCCCTCCCACCTCTTGTCCCTATTTAATGGTAATCTTCTTCTCATGCTCTTCCTCCCTGCTCTGTTCTTAGTTGCCCTCCTTATATCAAAGAAGACATTTGGCTTTTTTTTTTTAGGGATTGGCTAGCTTCACTTAGCATAATCTGCTCTAATGCCATCCATTTCCCTGCAAATGCCATGATTTTGTCATTTTTTAATGCAGAGTAATACTCCATTGTGTATAAATGCCACATTTTTTTTATCCATTCATCTATTGAAGGGCATCTAGGTTGGTTCCACCATCATCTCCATTTTTAATTGCACACATAGTCCAGTGGTATTAAACACATCCACATTCTGCTTCTATTGCCACCATCTGTCTCCAGAATTGCTCATCTTCCTGCATTGAAACCTTGTCCCTGTTAGACACTAAGTCCCCATTACCCTCCCCCCAGCCTCTGGCATCTACCATTCTACTCTGTCTCTATGGATTTGGCTGCTGTAGGGACCTCCTGTGAGAGGAATCATGCAGTGTTTGTCCTTTTGTGACTGGCTCATTTCACCGAGCATCATGTTCTCAAGGGTTATCCATGTTGAAGCATGTGTCAGAATTTTCTTTTTTGGGGGGTAGGGGGGTGGGTACTGGGGAGTGAACTCAGGGGCACTTGACCTCTGAGCCACATCCTCAGCTCTATTTTGTATTTTATTTAGACAGGGTCTCGCTGAGTAGCTTAGCGCCTCACCATTGCTGAGGCTGGCTTTGAACTCAGGATCCTCCTGCCTCAGCCTCCCGAGCTGCTGAGATTACAGGTGCATACCATAGCACCCAGCCAGAATTTTCTTAGTCTTTGAGGTGAAATAATATTCTATTTTATGGACATGCCAAACTTTATCCATTCATATGTCTCCGGACACTTTGGTTCCTTCCACCCCCTTGTTAATCCCAATGCAGTCAGGCTCCTCCCCCAAACCTTTTGTCCAGGTCTCCATGATCTCATTGCCAGAACCAGCAAGTGCTTTAGCACTGTATTCCTTGACCAGGAGCAGTAGCCAGCAGAGCAGGCCATTTTCTCCTCTATGAAACTTGCAGGGTGGCCTAGGACCCTGTGCTTGGGCCCTGTCTCCCTCTATACCTATCCACCTCACCCTCTACTGTGAACCCATGGATACTCAGGCCAGACTTTCCATAACTGCACATTCTGGTGTCCAGCTGCCAACTAGACATCTCCACTTGGATGACACTTCCTGGATGACACACCCAAAGCCAACTCCCAATCATCCCCATTGCAGGACCTGGCAATGCCAGTCTTCCTGTGGCTCAGAATATCTGGTGTCCTCCTTGACTATTCAATTCTGCATCCCAGAATTGCCGGCCCTGCCCTCAAAGTAGACACCAATCTGAAGATGTTATACCCCTCCATGACTACTACCACTTGGGTCCAAGTACCACCCCTCACTTTCTTCAGATCTTAGGTCACCTGCTCTGTGACACATTCTTGGGCAACCTCTTGAATTCAAAATTCCAGTGGCATGGTTATACACCCATCCTCTACTGGATATGCTCCTGAGATGACCATTACCCTCTTCCCTTGTGTACACTGGATCCAGGGGGCTGAGGCTTTCTGCAGCTTCCTTTCTTGCTCTATTCCCAGCTCCTGGAACGGTGCTGGGTGCAAAACCTTCAGAACAGGTCCTTGCGGAAGGCAGCAGCTAGAGCTGGAGGGAAGCCCCCTATATCTCTTGCATCCCAAGCCAGACCCCCTTTCAGAGAAGCAGAGGCAGAAGCAGGAGCCAGCTTTGGAAAATGACGTGTTTTTATTGCTATGTTTGCAGTGGCTTTTTAGCACAGTAAGAACGTCCCTGCAGCCCTGTGCCCTCACTCAGCCCCACTCCTCCAGCCTAGGTCTCTGGGTGGGGTAAGCCTTTCTAGGGGCCACTAAGCCATTTGGGGCTAGATGGGACACAGAGGTGGGTTAAAGCTGCTACACGGAAGACTCAAGATGTGGAAAGTGCATCAGCCTTAAGCTTGGAAGTGGGAGCTGTGCCCGGGATCCCTTCCCTGGGCTATGCCCATGGATGATCCCTGCAATGGAGCCCAGCCCAGGGAGCAGGGTGTGGGCAAGCCGGAGCATGCCAAGTGAGCAGCCCCAGATCCTGGGACAGAGTGCTGCAGCCTCCCCCTCCCACAGACTTGGGGACAAAGGAGCAGTATGGGGACACCTTTGAGGCCCCCACCATGCACTTTCCCACCCCAGTGTGGGGCTGGGGGCCACACACGCACATCCACTCAACAGACTCACACGCTCAAACAGCTTGAAGCTTTTGTTTTGCCTATGAAAATTAGATCTATAAATTCACACTCCTTGGCTAGGGGCAAGAGGAAGGATGGGCTGAGAGGGAAGGGAGTGGTAAGGAGAGGGGATGGTTAGGGCTCTCTTTTTAGAAATATACAAGCAGAAATCTCACTCCTCAAGTTTTTATAAAATGTGCAAAATACAAGCCTCTGTTGCCCAGAGGCACAGTTAACATCTGGTATTCGCTAAGAGAGATCTACACATCCTCTACACTCACACGTGCACTCGGACCCAAGCTCACACAATTGATATTGGTGGCAATTGGCGCAGGAACCAGAAGGTTCCATTGCTGGCTGGCTCTCTAAGCTTCTAGAACAGGGATGGGGTGGGGAGAGGGGTGCAGTCCAGCTTAAACATTCACCTAGGATCCCCTGCACACCCCTCCCCCCCATCCTGCCTCCCCCTTCCCTCCTGTTCCCCAAGCTACCACTGCTGCTTCTGGGGGTGAGGGGCCACCCAAGGATGTTTAACAGAGCAGAGCCTAGGGATGGGGGCAGGATGGGCCTAGCAGTGGTAGGAGATGGGTCCTGGACACTGAGAGGAGAGTTGGGAGGCTGGGCCTGGGAGCAACACATGGACCAGCTTGGCTAGGGCCCAGAGGTTGGGGGGAGAGGCATCTATTTTTGGTGGGTTGTGATATTTTTGGCGTTTTATTAAAAATGGAAAAAAGTTATTTTAGCACTCAAGGTGCTTCCTCCCCTCCCCCCAGGCAGACCCCAAAACTTGTCAGGGAAAGGCAAGCCCCCTGGAGGGGTGGGGTGGGGGCTAAAGCAGGGGCTGCTATGGCTACCAGAGGATGAGCTGGTGATATGAGCTGGGGTTGCCCGTCACATGACACTCTCCACCACGACAACTTTGCTGCTCTCGGACACTGGAGTCAGGGTGGTCAGGCCCCTGACATCTGCATCCTGAGCTCTGTACTCCAAATGGTGGAGGCCCCAGATAGGCTGGGTCAGGTGCTGCCAGCGCTGTGGAGAGGAAGACATATTGAGCACCCCCAAGGGTCACTACTCCCCATGCAATGGTTTCTGCCTCTCTCCAATTTCTACCACCTGCCACTAAATTAGGGCTGCTCCTCCAAGGGTACCCTTCAAAGCTTCAGTCTCTGCACCAGAAAACAGGGATGGGTGGGTATTTTCCTCAGAGGGAAGGAAGCTAGATGTGGGCCCTGTTCCCCTGCCATCACCCCTAGCCCAAGGTGGCCAATCTTCAGGTTGATCACCTGGAGGGAGGGTTGGAATAGGTCTTACCTCTGCCATGGTTCCCTTGGCCCTGAGGAGACAGCCCAGCAGGTAGAGGGGCACACACAGCATGGAGGAGAGTGCAAAGGCCCAGCCCATGGCCTCGCCCCACCACGGGTACACGTAGGTATTGTTGTAGACCAGCGGCTCATAGTACACAACATTGAAGATGAAGATACCCTGTGGACATGGACACCTGCAGTCAGCGTGGCTCTCCATACTGCCTTACCTGCCCAGCCTTTCCCAGCCCTTACCATGCAGACCAGCGGGGTAAAGAAGGACCAGCACCATTTCATCCAGGGGCAAGGTCGGTACCCAATCATACAGGCAATGTCATCCATGAAGCGATCAGCTCCTGGGGTTGGGCAAAGCAACAGGGCCCAGAGCTGGAGACCACCTGCCCCCACCTTACCTCATATCCCAGCCCAGCCCTTGGCCCAGACTTACCATACACCCAGGCTACCACCACACACTCCCAGAAGGCCTGCCAGAGCAGGGTGGTGCCACTGGCTGAGTAGTAGTCAAACAGCTGGAAGACATACATCCCACCCTGGGGGATGGAGACAGGTTAAGGAAGATGGTGGCCATTGGCTGAAGACCACTGGCAGCCCCACCTGGCCCCCACTCACATCTGTCACCATGGAGAGGTCGATGACAAAGCAGAGGGCGCAGCAGAGGGCCACGGAGATCTCCCTTTGGAAACGGAAGTAGTAGGAAGCCGGGAGGAGGTCGAGGAGGCCGGTGATGAAGCCCTCCACACCTACAAACTGTGGCCAGGGCAGCTCAGGCCTAGCCCTCTCCCTACCAGCACTTCTTGCCCAGTTTTCCAGGCCCCTGCCCACCAGCCCCAGCTCCTGTCCTGGAGCACCCCGCAAACCTGGCTGTCCAGGCCGAGCAGCAGCAGCATGAAGAAGAACAGAGCAGCCCAGAGTGGGGCCACAGGCATCAGCGTGACAGCCCGGGGGTAGGCGATGAAGGCCAGGCCTGGCCCTGAGGAGTAAAGGTGCAGGGTGAGCTGGCACCCCCCTGAGCTGTGCATGCCCTGAACCTATCTTGATGCTCTTGCTTACATGGCCTTCAGAGACACCAGAGACACAGGCAAAGCCTGGGCACCTAGGGGCCAAGAGCTACACCCTCCAATTACATTTGTTTCTAGGCATGGCCAGGCACACCCAGGCCCCTGCAGGCACCTCATACTGTCTGAAGGCTCAGCAGGACCCCACCACCATGTAAGTGGGGCATCTGGCTCAGGCTTTTTCCTGGGTTCCAGCAGCCATCACTGTCACAGGTCTCTGGTTCCCCTAGGTGAACCAGCAGGGCTGCAGGAGACCCTTTTTCCCTCCTGAAGCCCTGGGACAACTACAAAGACACACCCTGTGGCCCTTTTTGAAGGGTGGAAGGGGGTTCCTTGAGCTGCCAAAACAGCTGTGCCTCACAGTGGCTCTGCCTGCTGCCCTCTGGCACAGAGCAATCTGACAAGCTCAGCTGAACTTGTCTGTCACTTTTCAGAACTGGTTTGCATGTGTTTGCATGTCATACATCAGGACAGTGTTGCCGCTCTGGAGGAGGGCAGAAGCTGAGGCTTTACCTGATTCAGCCACTTTGGAGATATGCACGCCCTGCTCTGTGGCCATAAAGCCCAGGATGGAGAAGACCACAAAGCCAGCAAAGAAGCTGGTCCCGCTGTTGATGAGTGCTAGGATGATGGCATCCCTGGGTGGTGGAGAGGGGGACGGAGTAAACTGGTTAGATCTCCTGGTGCTCCCAGGCAAGGGAGGACAGAGGTGGGCCTGGGCTGTGGTGCTTACTTGTAACAGTTGTTGTTGAAGCGGTTATAGCTGCCCAGGGCTGTGAGGGCCCCCAGGCCGATGGCGTAAGAGAAGAAAATCTGGGTCCCAGCATCTATCCATACCTGGAGATGGGTCAGGAAAGAATGGGCATGAGGGCCCCAGCCCAGTAGCACCATCTCCCACTCCTATTGCTTCACAGGTCCTCCCCTCACCTGAGGTGACCCCAGCTTTGACCAGTCAGGTTTGAGATAGTAGATGATGCCATCCAAGGCCCCAGGCAGTAGCACTCCACGCACCAGCAGCACGACGAGGACCACATAGGGGAATGTAGCAGTGAAGTACACGATCTGAAGGGGTGGGATGTTCAGAAGGGCCTGTGCCCCTACCTCCCCCTGAGCCTGGCATCTGACCAGGGGAGCCATGGTGTGCCCTTGTGCTCAGAGGGAGGGTGGGCACTGGTGCCCCATTCTTCTCAGAGCTAGGGCTCCCCTGAGGGAAGACAGAGGCCTGGGCAGCTCTACAGCAAGCACAGGCCAGCTGCAGAGGGAGGGGAGAGACTAGACCGTGCCTCTTACAGAGGAGGATCCTTAGGCACATCTAATGTCTTGCAGGGAAGGGCGCTCACAGGGAGTGAGTGAGCCCATGTGCACTCAGTCCCGAGGATCAGAATTGAGGCAGCTTCTGGGGTTTGTCCATGCAAGACTGGGAAGGTGTTGGGGTGTGGGGATGAATGAGCAAGGAGTCTAATGCTGGCAGTGTAGCATGGGGTGACAAGCCATGTCCCTCTCAGAGCCCTGTGGGGCCTCAAACTCCAGGTCATCCTCTGTACAGAGGTAGGGTCCTTACTAGTTGAGGATTCTAACTGGGCCACACAGAAAGGAAAGGGAAAGGGGAAAAGGTGTGGCTCAGAGGTAAAGCACTTGCCTATTAAATATAAAGAACCTGGGTTTCATCCCCTGTACTTTTTAGAGAAAGGGACAGCAAAGGCCTCTGCTTCCTTGCCCAGTATCCAAGCTCTGGGGACCCTACTGTGAATGCATCCAGTCCTACCCTCCAGGGACTGACCTGGCCATTTCCCACAGTGACACACTGTCCTATTATGTATCTGTTCATGCATTGGTCTCCATCACCTGACAACCCCTGAAGGAGGAAGTGTGTGAAGATTTCCCTCCGGGCCCTCAGCACTGGAAACCATAGACCAGGTCCACCCAGACCATAGAAACAGGCTGAGGCAGTGAGGAAGGAATAAAGGAACTAAAGAGGGAAAGAATGTGAGGGTGGGGACAGAGGATGGGCACAGGGAAGGAAGGAGCAGCTACTGCATGGGCCTTTCCCCTCCGGAGTGAAGGCTGCTGCTCCCTGGATTGGGAGGGTAGGATGGAATATCCTGTGATGGGGTGTGATAAAGTGGTCTGGATTGAAGGACCTCTCCTTTCCTTAGTCCTTAGTTCCAGTCTGGACATCCCCCTTTTTTTTTTTTTTTTGGTACTGGGAATTGAACTCAGGGGCACTCAACCACTGAGCCACACCCCCAGCCCTATTTTGTATTTTATTTTGAGACAGCATCTCACTGAGTTACTTAGTGCCTTGTTAAGTTGCTGAGGCTGGCTGTGAACTCACGACCCTCCTGTCTCAGCCTCCTGAGCCACTGGGAATACAGGCATGCACCACTGTGCCTGGCTGGACATCCCATTTTGTAATGTCCTTGCAGGGACACACCTCTCCCAGGGCAATGCTGGCCCCACCCTGCCCACATCCAGCTGTACCTTTCCTGTTGACTTGACTCCCTTCCACACACAGAAGTAGACCAGGACCCAGCAGGCCAGCAGACATAGGGTCACCTCCCAGTTGAGGGCCCCTGGCACCTCCAGCCCTGCAGAGAGCCTCAAGACTTTGTTCCTAGGGGAAGAGAAGGAGGACACCTGTGGGCCCTGCCAGCAGAGGGCATAGTGGATGGGATATGCCCCCAGGAATGGTGGCTCCTCTGTCCCACCTACAGACCCTGGTCCAGGTCTTGTAATGTGCCTGGAGCTTGGCAGCCCCCGGCTTGTGTGCTGCCAGCTGACCCCACCCACACCCCCTGCACACACGCAACCCCAGCTCCCTCACCAAGTGGGTCTGGTGCAAGAACAGTGACAAGTGTCACTGAAGGAGCAAGCCCCACAACCCCCAGTAGCAGGCCTGGATACTCCTCTAGAACAGGGAGAGGCAGGGCCTGGAGTGGCTGTTCCTGCATCCCTGGCTATGTTTCCGCAGGACTGGACTACCTGTGGGGGACTGTAGGGATGGGATGGGGCACCAGACTCACTCCCAGAACTCGATGACAGGGGACCGACGATCAGCAAGCTGGTCACACGTGAGATTGGCCAGGCTGGCATTGGCACAGTCTTCGTGGCGAAATATCTCCACACAGTCAGGAGTGTTCCAGGTGTGGCCACACGTGGCCCAGGGCAGAGTGGTAGTGAAGGACTTTACCAGGTAATAGAAGCCCCAGGCCAGCACCATGATGTAGTAGGTGTTGCAGTAGAAGACGATCACCATGGAGGCATAGCCCAGGCCTGGGGGTGAGCCAGGGCTTCCTTTACGTGTGGGCTCTGCTCTGGCTACCTCCAGGGCTGCTGAGCCCCTAAGAACCGCTCCCTGTGTCCACATCCTCCCCTTCCCCTATCCTCCCAGGGCCTGTGCCATTGTGCTCCATAGACTTCTCCGAGCACCCGGAGCCCCCCTGTGTGTCCCAACAGTGTGCCGCCTCCCCAGTCTGTCCCCCATCAACACTCCCCCTGCTCCTTGTCCACCTTCTGTTCTTCATCTCCCCCATCCACTCCAGAGCCAAGGTGGAACCCTCCCCGCCTGCCCCATCTGGTCACTAGTCTGTCAATTCTCCAGCTTCGGGTACCTGGCCCCTCTCCTAGGTCCCACTGCCACCACTGTGGTCACTGGAGGCAAGATCTCCACCTGGCCTCCCAGCAGCCTCCAGTACAAAGCAGCTGGGGGAGATTTTTAGTAACCTGAGGCAACATGGGAGATAGTCATCCTCCCTCAGTGGACAACTGGGCAAGTTACTTCCCCTCTCCATGCCCTGCTTCCTCAATAACAATAGTAAGACCTCCCTAATAAACCAAGCATGTACAGCAGGTCCTGTCCCCAGTCTCCCCAAGTTTGCTATATGGTCTGCACATCCTTCATATTGGCCCTTGAGACTGGGGGCCATCACCTGTCCCCAGGCCAGGACAGAACAAGATCAAGTGGGTGCCAATGTGCTCTGTTCCCTAGCCCTCACCCTAATAATGGGAAAGGGGAGGAGTCCCTGGGGGGAGGATAGGAACTGGCCCAGGGCTGCTCACCTTTGAATAAAGGACAGATGTTCCAGACGTTGATGCTGCCGGCCTTCATGAACTGGCCCAGTGAGATCTCCAGGAAGAAAATGGGGATTCCTCCGACCAGGGCAATGAGGACATAGGGAATAAGGAACACACCTGGGGAAAGAGCCATGGGAGGGGGTTCAGAAGACAGACCACAACAACACCTCTCAGTACCCCACGAAGACCATGGGCACTGGCACAGGGTAGCCCCAAGCCAGAAGCAGATCGAAATTTGTCAGCCAGCCTATCCAGGCCTAGCTGGCTAACCCAGACTTCAGAAGCCCTAGGAAATCCAGGTGGAGCCCCAGCTCTGGCCTCTACTCTGGTCCCATAACTTCCCACTGGGTGAATCAGTGCACGGATGGTCGCTGACTCAGAAGCCCAAGGTGAACAGTCTTTGGGGGTGGGTTCTGGATCTGTTGAGAGGAGGGACTATAGCTTCCCCTGGCCATTACAGCCCAGTCCCTGTGTGGGCCATGTCCATGGAGGTTCCATCCCCCTGGACACCTAGAGTGACCTAATGGGCATGGAGGACATGCACTCATGCATGCAGGCCATCCCTTGTGCCAGTTTTGCTTGCCGGGCAGCAGCTGGAGGAATGGCGAAGACACGTGGTCAGGCCTGGGGGCTTGTCCAAAGACAAGGAGGGGGTGAGTGGGTGGCGGTCCTTTGCTGTTGGGGGTGTCTGTGTACAAGGACAGAGGAGGACAGGTGGAGGAAAGGGACCAAGTTAAGCACAGCAAGCTCCAGTGAGCCAGGCTCTGGAGGAGGCAGGCAGGGTATAGTCAGAGATAGTCTATCAGTAGGCTGGGTAGGTGGCAGAAGGGGAGCTGGGTACCAGCAGTCCCTGCCCACTCCCCCGTACTTCTCTCTACTACACTTGCTCCTGGCTCAGCTTTCTCCACTATTCACTGGCCAAGTTAACTGCAGCCTGCCAGGCTCCTAGTCCCAGCATCCTTCTTGTGTGTGACCTTGGGCAAAGGCCTTCCCTCTGGGCCTCAGTTTCCCACCCATCACATAGTTGCTCTACTTCCCAGCGACCCAGTGCTGCTTTGCAGTCACAGGACACATGTGTGTCCATCACTGTTGCTAAGCTGGGCTTCAGCGGATGCGCATGGGGTGTGCATGCCGGTGTGTCCAGCGGAGGCGCCAGGCGGGCCAGGCCGCAGGCTTCCCAAGCCTGGCTCAGGCACCCAGTGTTCCAGGCCCAGGCCAGAGGGGAGGGGAGGGAATGTAAGAGAAGAGAAGGGAGGGGAGGGGAGGACATGGGGGAGGGACAGAGTGGCCCATTGTGTGTGTGTGTTCGTGTGTGCACACGTGGGGGGCCCACACAATGTGCCATTTGTGTCTGATCCGTGGGGGCAGCCAGGACTCCTCACCTCTTGGAGCCCCTCTAGTGGGCAGGCTTCCCCTTCCCATCTCAGTGACCAATCGCTCTGGGCCTCAGCTGGGAGTCTGGGGGACAGCTCCTCAGTTCGGCAGGAGGCTTGCCGGCCGCCTCCCCCCACAGTGCCAGGCACATGACTGGCGAGGGGGGTGGAGGCCACCGAGCTGTGCCACCCAGCGGCCCAGCCGGCGAGGGGCACCTCGGCCTCCGTGCACCCTGGGGGGCCTCCCCACCCCCTGGACTTCGCCCCTGGGCTTCGATGGGCCGGCGGCAGGCTGGGGGAGGGGCCACGGCGAGGAGCGGGGATGAAGCGGGGCGGGGGCGCTTACCTCCGCCGTTCTTGTAGCACAGGTAGGGGAAGCGCCACACGTTGCCCAGGCCCACGGCGAAGCCCACGCACGACATGATGAAGTCCATCTGGCGCGTCCAAGTCTCTCGTGGTGGTACAGCCAGGCGGCCGCCAGGCGCCCCCAGGCCGGCGGGGCCATCGCCCTTGGCCGGGGCCCCGTCGGGCCCGGGCGCGATGAGGGGGCCCTTCTTCTCGTCGCCGGACACGCTGTAGATGCCGTTCTCAGCACTCTTCTTCGCCATGGCCCAGGAGGGCCGCGCGGCCGGGCCGGGGGTCGCGGCGCCTCGCGGGGGCGGGCGGGCAAGGGGCGCCGGCGGCACCCGGGGGAAGGGCCCCGAAGGCGCGGGCCCGCCCGGGGGCCTCGGGAGCGGCCGGGCCGGGGGACGGGGCGGCGGGCGGGCGGGCGGGCGGGGTGCGGGACGGCGGGGGCGGCGCAGTCAGAAGCAGTCCACGAAGCACTTGAAAGTGAGCCTGAAGAATCTCATGTGTGTCGGGGGCCCGGGGGCGCGCGGGCGGCGGCGGGGCTCGGCCGGGCGGCGGCGGCGGCGGCTCCCGAGGCTCCTGCCCGCGGCTCCGGCGGCGGCGGCGGCGGCGGTGGCTGCTCGCCCGGCGTGAGGCTCAGCCTAGCGGGGCGCGGGCGGCATCGGGCGCCCACTGTTTGCAAGTGGCGGCCGGAGCAGGGGCCTGTGGCCCGCGCCCCCCGCCCCGGCCCTCGCCGGCAGCGGCTGCACTCCTCGTCCGCGGCTCCCGCGGCTCTGGCGGCTCCGGCGGCTCCAGCGGCCCGGGCGCGCCTCGCCCCCTCCTTCCCGGCAGCGGCTCAAGCCGCTCTCGGGGCCGCGGCGGGCTCAGAGACTCGCCACCGCACTCCCACCGTCCCTCTCTTCCCCGATGCGACCGGCCGCTGCTTAAGAACCGACTCCCGGGTGATGTCACTGTCGCCCCACCCCCACGACGGGGCTGGTCCCCCTCCCCCCTCCATCCCTCGCTCCCGCCCTCCCCGTCACTCCGCCCACCTCCTCCCGCCCTCCTCCCGAGAAGAAGACGCGGCTCCAAGCACTGGCAGGATGGCTGCTACCTGGGGTGCCGTCCAGCACCGCCCTTCCCTGGGGCTGAACCGCCCCTCTCCCAGGGCTCACCTGGCCCCGGCCCGGCCCACTTCTCCCCTCTGTCTTCTTACTGGCCCTTCCCAGGTCTGGGAAGACGGCTCCCTTGGCCCGCTTCCAGCCATCCTTGGCTCTCCCTCTCCCCCTCTCTCTGTTCCTTCCAGACTGGAGTCTTTCCCTCCTGCTCGAGATCGGTCCTGATCGCCCCATCTCGAGCCCTTTTCTGGCTCCCAGCTGGGATTTGGACAGTGTTGCATACTCAAGTCTAAAGCTTGCCAACTCCCTGCCCGAAAAGGGGTCCAGGGTGCTTTGAACTTCCGAAGGGCTGGGCTCCCAGCTGGCTGGAGGGATAGGGTTGGAGGTGTATCTACATCCACGTGAGCTGCTGGGCGGTCTGTCCTCCCCAAGAGTATAGCCCTGGAAGCTGGAGGTGGGATCTGAACTTGGGCTAACCGATTTTTGTGTCTCCAAAGTGGGCAAAGAGGAACCTGTTTGACAAGTAAGGGTACACTTTGTCTCCAAGATAGGTGGACTGCATGATGATCCCTGCCACCCCACCCTTCCCTGGAGTGGGCCGCTAAGGGCGTGTGACCTGCCAGACTGGGGCAGGAATAGGATAAGGCTGCCCTCTGGTGCCTGGCCGGTGCACAGACCCTCCCCCAAAGGCCTCTGCTTGGAGGACCCAGCTCCCCAGCCTGTGCTTCTGTCCACAGGGACCTGCAGGCCTCCCCAGTAAAGGCAAGGTTGTTGTGAATTTTCCTAGGGCCAAGACTACACTGAGAGTGGGTGGGGAAGGAAGGAGTGGTTATTGTCCTGTCTGGGAAAATAAAGTGTGCTATGCTCAATCCCAGGCTCCCTGATTTAATCTCAGACACTGGAGTCCCCAGATGGCTCATCCGGTTAAGCTAAGCCTGCAGTCATCCGGTCAGCTTTAGGAAGAAAAGCAATTCTGGCCTGAGCCAGATTGTGCCTGTAGGTGAGGGAGGGGCAGCATCTCCACCCCTCTAGCAGGAGGAGCCTCAAGAGGTGTGCCTCCTCCCTTGTGCTTAGGCTAGGAGGAGGGTAGAGATAGCAGGGTCACATTGCTCATCAGAGGGCTCTAACTTGGGTCTTCTTTGGCTCAGCCTGGAACTAAATCCTATCTGGAGACAAAAAGATTTTTAAGAAAGTGACCCACAGATGGGATGAAAGAGTTGTGGCCAGCTGGATGTGGTGACACTTGCCTGTAATCCCAACGACTTGGGAGGCTGAGGCAAGAGGATCACGAGTTTAAAGCCAGTCTCAGTAAAATTGAGGCACTAAGCAACTTAGTAAGACCCAGTCTCTAAAAAAAAAAAATACAGAATGGGCTGGGGATGTGGCTCAGTGGCCGAGTGCCCCTGAGTTCAATTCCTGGTATCTGCCCCCCCCCCCCCCGCAAAAAAAAAAGAGCTGAGGCCATCCAGAGATCCAGGACAGAGAATGTTTAAGAGACACAAGAAGAGGATCCCATGAAGTAGACAGCAAGAGGACAGAGTGGGGGTGTGATGTCCACAAAGGAGGACAGTGGCTGCAGCAGTGACCTGGGTGAAGCTGCTTGAAGGAAGCACTGTGGGCAGTGCCAGGAGAACCAAGTGAAGAAGTAAGAAGTGGAGGGGTGTGTGCAACTCTCAAAAACTGCTTGTCCAGAGAGCAGGGGTGGGAGGTAGAGAACATGGTGAGCTGGTGACACTTTGGGGAAATGACCACTGCTGTAGGGAGGGCAGAAGGTGAAGAGAGCAAGGCCAGGAGCCAAAGGTGGGCACATTCCTCTGCCATATGACAGCCAGCTGGCTAGGGAGGCATGTGCTAAGGCCAGTGGCAGGAACATGAGGGAGCTGCCACTTGGGACTGCCATTGTCTCTGTGGGGGACTGGCTGAAGGTTGCTGGAAACAGAAGAATGATTTTTGTGAGCCCTGAGACCTCCACCTTCATGGGGGTGGCATGTCCAACAGGCCCCCCCAGACCCGACTCAACAGGGACACACCCTCCCAGCTCCCTACCAACCTAAGAGACACCCAGGCCTCCTTGTGGGCCTGCTATAGCCAGCCCCTCCCACATTCATCGACAAACCCCCATTGTCAATAGGGCCTGCAGAGCCCTCTCCAAACCCTTCTGCATTCCACTCACTTCTGTGGACCCCACTGGCAGCCAATGACTAGGAGCCCCATGGCTCTCTGGAACCCTGCAGTGGCCCCCCTCCTCATGGCCCGGTACAGCCCCACACTACATTCTTCTCTCAGCAGCCAGAGGGACCCTGTGGAAGCATGAATCCAACCAGTCCCTCCTCAGTCTGATCTCCTTCTCTAGGCTTTTCTGGAAATAAAACTAAATTCCAGACTGGGGGTGTAGCTCAGTGGTGTGTTTGCCTAGCCTGGGCAAGGTCCTGGGTTCCATTCCCAGTGCTGCAAAGCAAAAACAAAACAAACATGCTCCCCAAAAGCCAACGAAATGCACACACAAAAGAACTAAATTTGGGCTGGAGTTGTTGGTCAGCGGTAGAGCACTTGCCTAGCACGTGTGAGGCACTGGGTTGGATCCTCAGCACCACATAAAAATAAATAAAATAAAGGTCCATCAACAACTAAAAAATATTGAAAACATTGAAAAAAATACACAAACAACTAAATTATTCTCCAAGGCATTCAAGATCAAGTATGACCCAAACCATGGCTTCCCCAGTCTGGGGTCAGTGGCAGAGGAGCACTTAAGCTTCCCTCCGGGCTGGGCTGGGCCTGGGTCCCCAGTTCCCAATTGTCTTTCTTTGCTGACCTCCTGCTGATGCTCAAGACTGGGCTCCTGGAGGACTTGGGAGCCCTCCCCCACTCCCAACAGCCACCTGTGAGTTTCCTATACCCGCGCTCTGCCTCCTCCCTCCCAGGGGACTGGCTAGGCAATTTCCCAAGAGGAGCCAAGGTGGTGCTCCGACGTGAGCAGTCTGGGGTGGGGGTGTGTGAGTGTACCTTGGAGGGGTGGGGAGAGTACAGCTCCCTGAGGTGCCGACTGCCTGAGGAACAAAGGCTCAGGGATTTCAAGCCGTGGCTGGATTGTCTCCAAGGTGCTTTCAGGGCTTTGCAGGAAGGAGCAGGGTGGACTCTCCAGGATTCCAGCTGATGGCCAGAAACTGTTCCTGTCCAAGCCTCCCCCTGTGCTGCCAGGTGTTACTCACCAAAGGGGTCCTGAGCATGCACAGAATGGGTTGCAGGGACCTGCAAACTATGCCCAACCCAAAGCCCCTGCTGCAGCTCCTAGGAGAAGGAGCCAACTCTACCCCAGAACAGAAGTGATAGAGGGACAGCTGTGTCCTCCCCCTGTAGTGTTGCAGGGAACCGGGCCCTGTCTAGACCCCAGCTAGGGCTGGAGGTAGGGTAGGAGCTGATGATGGGGAGGGGCCCAGAGGGGTGAGGTGGAGGAAGGACCTATGGGAAAGCCTGAGAAGTGGGGCTGGAAGTTGGATTCAGTGCCCACCCAGGCGTAAGGCAGCCTTGGACTGGGAGTGAGCTGGGTGGAGTCAGTCCTGCCCTGGGGTAACTGTTTATCCCAGAGGCAGGATCTTGGCAGCTGGAGGCTGGGTAGGGGCGCCTCCTCTTCTGGAGGCAGTGGCACGAGGAGCTTTGGAATTACAATGAGCTGGGAACAAAGAAGAAGCTGGGATCCACCTGGTGGGGCTCTATACTTCCAGTTCCTGAGCCCAGCCGGTGAGGGAGACCAATGGGGCTGGGGTCTTGGGCCCTGGGGCTGAGGGTGCAACCTGAGAGGCCTGGCCCCTCTCCAGCACAGCACCCTCTGTCCACAAGCTGTGATCATTCATGGAAACCTTCTGAAAGGATTTTTTAAATGTTTTATGTAAATGTTTCATATTAGATTACTTTGGATGTACAGAAAAATCTCAGAGATCGCAGCAAGAGTTCCCACAGCACCCACAGTCAACTTCCCTGTTATTGATCTCTTAACACAAGCATAGTGGTTTGTTGCAGTTAATGAATCAATCGTGGTCCATTATTTTTAAGTAAAGCCTGGCTGTCCCAGGATCCCATCCAGGAATCCCACATTGCACTTCCTTGTCATATCTCTTGACTGTGACTGTTTCTCAGATTACAGATGTGTGCCACCATGCCCAACTATTGTTTGTTCTTGATGACCAAAACACT